TGAAACAATATGGAGAAGAAGTGACAGGATGGAGCTTTTTATAGCGCCAAAAGGTGGACGTAGGCCACTAGGAGAGGTAAGAAAATCAGATGTTGAGAGGTCAGGTCCCTCTCAAATCCAGCCCCCCTCACTAGTGGAAGTTTTTCGAAGTTGATTGCAGGTCTGTACCAAGATACCCTTGTGTTGCAGTGTCTGACAGATTGAACATTAAAATGGTATAAAATACCGACAGGTTGTTAGGTACAGACCTGGTACAGACCTGCAATCAACTTCGACAACTTCCACTAGTGAGAGGGGCTGGATTTGAGAGGGACCTGACCTCTCAACATCTGAGTTCTTACCTCTCCTAGTGGCCTACGTCTCACCTCTTGGGGCTATAAAAAGCTCCATCCTGTCACTTCTTCTCCATATTGTTTCATACTATGGAACAATGCTCTTCTCCAGACTGAGGGACTGACCACCTCAAAACTTTAAGGGTGATGACTGATTACATCGTCTTCAAGTATCTTCTATCAACTTTTCTGTACTTGACTGAAGAAGCCTACTGTGTAGGCGAAACGTTTCATAATAAAGATACCTAACTGTTGCATATGTGTCTTACCTAACAACCTGTCGGTATTTTATACCATTTTAATGTTCAATCTGTCAGACACTGCAACACAAGGGTATCTTGGTACAGACCTGCAATCAACTTCGACAACTTCCACTAGTGAGAGGGGCTGGATTTGAGAGGGACCTGACCTCTCAACATCTGAGTTCTTACCTCTCCTAGTGGCTACGTCTCACCTCTTGGCGATTATAAAAGCTCCATCCTGTCACTTCTCCATATTGTTTCATACTATGGAACAATGCTCTTCTCCAGACTGAGGGACTGACCACCTCAAAACTTTAAGGGTGATGGACTGATTACATCGTCTTCAAGTATCTTCTATCAACTTTTCTGTACTTGACTGAAGAAGCCTACTGTGTAGGCGAAACGTTTCATAATAAAGATACCTAACTGTTGCATATGTGTCTTACCTAACAACCTGTGGGTATTTTATACCATTTTAATGTTCAATCTGTCAGACACTGCAACACAAGGGTATCTTGGTACAGACCTGCAATCAACTTCGACAACTTCCACTAGTGAGAGGGGCTGGATTTGAGAGGGACCTGACCTCTCAACATCTGAGTTCTTACCTCTCCTAGTGGCCTACGTCTCACCTCTTGGCGCTATAAAAAGCTCCATCCTGTCACTTCTTCTCCATATTGTTTCATACTATGGAACAATGCTCTTCTCCAGACTGAGGGACTGACCACCTCAAAACTTTAAGGGTGATGGACTGATTACATCGCCTTCAAGTATCTTCTATCAACTTTTCTGTACTTGACTGAAGAAGCCTACTGTGTAGGCGAAACGTTTCATAATAAAGATACCTAACTGTTGCATATGTGTCTTACCTAACAACCTGTCGGTATTTTATACCATTTTAATGTTCAATCTGTCAGACACTGCAACACAAGGGTATCTTGGTACAGACCTGCAATCAACTTCGACAACTTCCACTAGTGAGAGGGGCTGGATTTGAGAGGGACCTGACCTCTCAACATCTGAGTTCTTACCTCTCCTAGTGGCCTACGTCTCACCTCTTGGCGCTATAAAAAGCTCCATCCTGTCACTTCTTCTCCATATTGTTTCATACTATGGAACAATGCTCTTCTCCAGACTGAGGGACTGACCACCTCAAAACTTTAAGGGTGATGGACTGATTACATCGTCTTCAAGTATCTTCTATCAACTTTTCTGTACTTGACTGAAGAAGCCTACTGTGTAGGCGAAACGTTTCATAATAAAGATACCTAACTGTTGCATATGTCTTACCTAACAACAGGACAAGTGTCTATTGACAATTGGTAAACAGCACTCGCACATACACACGCCTACACACAACAGGCCAAGTGTCTTTGACAAATGATATACTAATTCACTAATCCAGCAGCATGAATGACATAGACTGCCCAAAAATGCTTTGATGTCTATGTAGATAATTTAACTGAGTGAATTTATCTTTATTGTACCGATTTACAGAGGCGATTATTTACAAACGCAAAAATGAATGGTCTTTCCTATAACGCATTCAACAGGACCAATAAAGAGAAAATATCATCCGAGGCAAGATGCATCTTTTGTTCATAATTTTGTGGAAAACTTTTGTACACATGCACTCTGGCAGGATTACTGGTCTTTTATTTGAGTCACGATCACGAACACTTTCATTAAATATGGGGCATCCCTTTAATTTCTTGTTTCGTAATAGTTGTTTATCTTATATTTCCTTTCCACTGTCTGAGACTGGGGCGGGGTAATGATGACAAGACCCACATAACACAAGAATGAAGGAGTACTGCAGCAGCCCTATTGGCCCACGCTAAGCGGGTCTAATACCCAACCACATTCACTTTTATACCCACCTAACCTATAGTGCTGCAAAATTTTCGCCCCTATGACGCTACCTGGGAGTTTGTTTTACTCATCTGCAATTCTATTTCCAAACCAGTACTGCCCTATATCCTTTCTAAATTTAAATTTGTTCAACATGAAACCATGTTCCATTCGTACACTTTGAATCATATCTCCTCCCTAATTCAGCGCCTTTCCGGAGTGCAAATTCAAAACGTCATACGTCTCCATATATTTTCCAGCTCATTTATATCGAGTCTCTAATATGGACACCAAATTGAGCAGCGTAATCTAAATGAGGCTTTACTAGGCTATATAAAGTTAAAATATAACCTTAGGATTTCTGTTATTTATACTTCTACTTCTTAATACGAAGCCAAGAATCCTATTAGCTTCATTACGAATACTTATGCACTGTTGTCTTGGCTTTACATTTCTGCTAACCAGAAATCCTAAATCTTTTTCTCATTCAGTATGGCTAAGCAGTACATTATTTAGCTCATAAGTACCATAGTTATTTTCTTTTTCTAGGATTAGAACCTTAAATTTGTCCGCATCGAACTGCAAATGACACTTCTCCAATCACATCAACCTATCCAGGACATTCTGACACTTTCTTGTGTCATCAGAAATTATCTAACGGCCTACTAAATTTAGTGTCATAGGCAAATTTATATCGCTATTTATTTCCTCATCTGTCTTTAGGTAGAGTGTGAACAAGAGTTCCAATAATGACCTCTATGGCACACCATTAACAGATAAGAGATATAACTAATAATTCAGGACTTCACTCTTGTTTACTCAGTTTAATGACAAATGTTTGAAGGACGCTCAAATTATTTAATTTCATCAGTACAATGAAATTCCTACACTCATTTTCAAATGTCTATTCGTTTTACTCGATACTCATATTGTTCCCTGGAATATCGTGTGTTAGGTAAATAATTACTCCAGGTATAGTACAATACTTTAATTTTGCACTCGCATGAAATACTAAAATGCCGATATAATGACACTATAATTTTGGTCAACTTTCATTTATATACGGATAAATAACTTGTTAAATTTAATGAAGGGAACCGAGATTAAAAGTACCTTCTAATAATATGTCCTTATAGTTGAGGACTTACTCACCGTAACCCATCCAATGAGACACACTTTATCTAGATATAGAATGCCACAGATTATATACTTAGTCAAACAAATCAGCACTTGACATCTCACTTACTCAAAAACACTATCATAAGCAAATTAGCAGTCGATATGTTTGTTTCTACGTTTTCCTATGTGCAGATTTACTGATTACTTGTCAGAGAATTACCCGACACGTAACTTTTTTTTAATACTACACAAAGAAATAAAATTTGTTTGTTTGAAAGTGGACCCGTTCAACGGCGTTTGTCCTGTAACGGACGCGCAGCAAAATGGTATCTAAAGATACAAGAGGGAAAAAACGGTTATAATAACCAAAATTTTTAAAGGGGTGGGCCGGTAAGCCAGGTAAAAGCCTCAGTCAGATAACCAAAAGCTCTAGTGGTGGGTCATCCTATGATTAAGACCCGCGTCAGGAAGCACTTGTCTGGTTTCCTGCAAACCTTACCTAAGTGAAGTGGTAAGGTCGCAGTAAGCCGCCCAGTGGTCGGCCACTGCAGCAGGGACCGCTGGCTCGCCGGTGCTTTAACTATTATCTATAAAAATATGATGATAATACATATAAATACACGGTAAGTAAAATAAATGATATTTAACACTTATCACTATAATAAATAACTTAAACAAGTAAAAGTAATCATTACCTATGAGAATAAAGACTGGTTCTAAAAACAAATCCCGCTTGTAACGGCAACAGATTATCCCGCACATCAGCTAATATTAAAGAATGTGTGTATTTCCTATTAAGAAATTTGAGTGCGGTACTGGGAAATGTGTACAGTCCTGTATGATTCCTATGGAATTAGCACTTTCACCATAATAAAAATAAATAATAATAATAAATGTGTGTGTGTGCGCGCGCGTGTGTATCTGGGAGGGGTATTTGTGTATATCAAATCTACCTGGCTATGATGGGTTTGTAGGTTAGGAGAAACCGGTCAATGGTATATTAGGGGAACGTGTATGAATTCTGGGAATATGCATGTGTTATCAGGGAATGTGCATGGTACATTTGGTAAGTTACACTTAATCGTTGTCATAACTACGCAGAGGCAACCAACAAAGCTTTGACGACATACATAGCAGAGCAAGCATACTAAGACAACGTTTCGTTCTAAGAGCTTATTAGAGAGAGGCAATGTGGCGAAAATGCAGCAACTTTTTAATGAAATTGTCTATGGTGTGTACAGAATTATAAAGATTAGCAATTTAATAAAAAAAACTCATTTTCCTAAAAAAAATAGTGAACTAAAACTTTACTGTTCTTTGATACACCCTACCATGAGAACAACCCACTTGTATGCACGTGCACAGTATAACTATTGGCCCTAGAAAATTTTCCCAGGTATTTGACGTAAGTGATGCACTAAATGATAACTGTATGGGTTGGTGTAGGGTGGAGGATTGGGACGGTGGAGAAAGGAGTGAATGGATACATATATAAGAAGAGGTGTCAGGGTGTAAGTCAGATGTCGTCTGCGTCTGTAGCTGTTGACATGACCACCATGTTGCTCCTCACCCTCCTGGCCCTACTGGGCTCCACCTCTGCTAAGAGGCTTGGGGTAAGATCAAATTTCTTGTAGCCAACGCTACTCCCCACATAATTATGAAAGTTAACAAATGGGAGTATAGAAACTTGGCTTTAATTGAACCATTACCCAACCAAAGAAACTGGGACCTTATCCTTTTGTATTTTCTTTTGCATTATTTAAGCTACAAATTTCGAGTACGATAAAAAAAATGCGCTGTAAGCATGAAAATACTTATTGCATTCACATGATTTCATTATTAAATATTAATTTTAATCTAAGATATTGATTGCTTGGATGGTTAATTGAGATTAAAGTCTATAGACTACACCATCAGTCAAGAATACTTTAATCCCTAGTATGTATTTACAGACCTACACCTCTCTGTGTTTATATCCAGTGTACGATATTTGGTTGGTTAATTGGGCTTTAAGCCTATCAACTATGTATACTTGGATAGCTACAATGGGAATTAAACTAAATTCCGTGTATATACACATACACACCTCTCTGTATACACATCTGTGTGATGTTGCTAAACAAAATAATTATGTATGGTAATAAGGCGAAAAAAATTACAGGATTTACATTATGAAGTGCCAGGGAATTGACTTATCAAACATTTTCTCTTAATATTCGTTTTAAAAACAGTGCTGCTATAAGCACCTTAATAATTAATGGTTTTGTTATAATAATAAATGAAAATAACTATTAGTATATTTATAATTATTATAACTAGTATCATATACGTAGAATTTTACAGTATGAACTTCAAAATTTATTATTAGTTTCCTGGCTTGCTACTGACAGGTGTCTGGTACGGATATTACATACGGAGGTGAAAAGGTGTTCCTAAACGGTGCCAACATCGCCTGGAACAACTACGGCTACGACTTTGGTAACGGTGGCTACGACGGCACCCTGGAGACCTGGGTAGGGGAGATCGGTAGCTCCGGCGGCAACTCCATCAGTGAGTAGTTCTTTAATCACCCTACATTTCTTGTGCCTATATGCTGTTTTCCTTAATCATAATCACATGGTTATTACGTATCGCCGAAGAGATACCTTTAGTGGCCGGCAATTTTATTTTTCTTCTTCCATATTTTTTTTCGTTTATAAGAACATCCGTAATGTTTGCGTTGCAGATTATACAGGCCTCAGGGATTACCTGAATTGTGAAGACTGGCGTAACCTGTCTAGGGATGATCATGAGGAAGACAGGATACATGGTGGTGGTGATGTCAACGACTTTTTCCAAAGTTTTGTCAAAGCCGCCTAATAGAGAAATTAGATCAAATGACCCTAAATATATGAAAAATAGATTAAAACATCAATAGCAAAATAAAGGCACAATACTGTGACTGGAACGATACAAAAATAACCCGCACATAGAAGAGAGGAACCATACCCCCGGCCGGGATTGAACCCGCGGTCATAGAGTCTCAAAACTCTGGAGTTTTGAGACTCTATGACCGCGGGTTCAATCCCGGCCGGGGGTATGGTTTATTTGCAATCGTGTCATTACGATTTCTTAAGTCAGAAGAGAGGAGCTTACAACGACGTTTCGGTCCGGCTTGGACCATTTACAAACAAACATCACTTGGATGAAAGGAGAGGGGCATCTACAAGTGAATCAAAAGTGGAGAATGGTAACCTTACTGACTAAAATGTATTATATAAAATCTGAATGGGGACTCCTTACAAGTCGTGTGTTACAGGGGCAAGTAATGGAATCCTTGTTGTTCACAATCTACATAGAAATATAGATGAGGGAATAAATCGAAAAACAAATAAGTCTGCCGCTGAAAGTAAAATAGGCTGTCAGATCATTTCTGATGAGGACTCTGGAAAGCTATAAGATGATCTAGATATGTTGATGTGGTCGAAGTGATAAGATAAGATTTCGTTCGGATTTTTAACCCCGGAGGGTTAGCCACCCAGGATAACCCAAGAAAGTCAGTGCGTCATCGAGGACTGTCTAACTTATTTCCATTGGGGTCCTCAATCTTGTCCCCCAGGATGCGACCCACACCAGTCGACTAACGCCCAGGTACCTATTTACTGCTAGGTGAACAGGACAACAGGTGTAAGGAAACGTGTCGAAATGTTTCCACCCGCCGGGAATCGAACCCGGGCCCTCCGTGTGTGAAGCGGGAGCTTTAGCCACCAGGCCACCCTAGGTAAAGAAAATAACTATGGTACTTACAAGCTTAATAATATAGAGACTGGTTAAAGTGAATGCAAAAAAGATTCAGAAGTTCTCGTTAACAGAAATTTAAAGCCAAGAAAACAGTCCACAAGCGTTCGCAATAAAGTCATTAGAAAATAGAATTCTTGGCTTCATATCAAGAAGTATAAATAATAAGTCCTAAGGTTACTCCATCATATAGTACCTTCTGTTAGGCTTCATATTGATTATGTTGCTCAATTCTGGTCTCTATAAAACGGAATGGACAAAAATGCGGAGGATAATACAGGAAGGATGACGAAGTTTATTGTATCAAAAACCGTTCCTACGAAGATAGGCTAGAGGAGCTGAATTCGCATTCTGGAAAGACGTTCGGTTAGATATGTATGACTGAAATACTCAAATGGAAAACAGGAATATTAGGATATAAATTGTCTGAAAAATATCTAACCAAAACAGGGAAGTGCCGGTTTGTCAGTACTTTCTTGCGTCATTGGGGCAAGAACTGTGGGTAGCTTTAGATACAGGTTGCATGGGTATATGAACGGGTGTGAGTTAACCGTGCCTAGCATTGGCGAATACAGACCCATGCTAGGCATGTTAGTAAACTATTCTCTAGGATGCTACTCACAAGAGTATTTGTGGATATATAATACTATACTGATAATAAAATAAACATATAATTACGTTTTTGAAAGCTTTTACGTAGGTTTTTCAAAACATGAGAACATAAATAAAATTTATTATATTTACTTTTAATATGATCTAAACTTTGCAGGGATATGGGTGCACGTGGAAGGGGACAGCACCCCAACATATGACGAAAATGGTTACGTCACCTCCTGTGACCGCACTGGTCAATTCGAGAACGATGTTTTGAGTCTTTTGAACGCTGCTGAAGCTAGCGGTGTGGTGGTCAATCTGTGCATGTGGAACGGAGCCGTCTTGCGGAACCAAAAAACTATCGATCTTATTTATGAGGACTCAAAACTTGATTCCTACATAGAGAAATGCCTTACTGTGAGTACAAAATGACATTTTGTAGTAGAATAGAGATGAAATTGTTAAGCTTGTGATTTTATATTACTGTAGCCCGTAGAGTAATTATTTTGTCAAAAAAAATATTATTTATTAAACTGCAAGTCTTAAAAAAGGCGGCTAATATGAATCTTTCCTTTCAATGGTTAATATATTCGAAATTCATTGAAACTAAATATACTATTCTACAATTAATTTAAAGTTGACAATAAGACAAAATATTTTAAATAAAAATGGAGTTTATTTCTAAAATAATTACCAAAAAATGTATATGCAAGCTATTTGGAAAGCCACTGAATATGCAGAGCATAATCTGATATGCAGAGCATAATCTGATATGCAGAGCATAATCTGATATGCAGAGCATAATCTGATATGCAGAGCATAATCTGATATGCAGAGCATAATCTGATATGCAGAGCATAATCTGATATGCAGAGCATAATCTGATATGCAGAGCATAATCTGATATGCAGAGCATAATCTGATATGCAGAGTATAATCAGCAAAATTGCAAACCCTTGCAGTCTTCCTTGCTAAATAATAAAAATGAAATTATGAATGTTAATAAAGCATCATATATAAACATGTCCAGCCCAACAATGTTTAAAATGCTGCCATCACTTTGGTTAGCAACTGTTTCTAACTCGCACAAGTTTTAGTATTATGTGTTGAATTATGTTTTCTGCGAATATCTTATGGTGCAACTGTCTAAGAACGAATTTTCTACCTAAAACATCGTAGTTCTTATATTTCAGCCCCTAATGGAGACAATAAAAGGTCATCCCGCCCTTGGATCCTACGAAGCCATCAATGAGCCAGAAGGATCAGTGAAGGTAGGTAACGAGTTTTGGTAGGTTCGCATTTTTCCTCTAAATAGTTTTCTCTTAGTCTGAGATTTACTGCCTGTTTCTCTTAAAATGACTCATATCATTAAATAAGTAACATCATGAAATACCAACTTGTATCTTAGTTCTGGAAATATTTGATTATTTCGACTAGGCCAGCTTTCTTGATTTCACAAAGTTTGTTAACAACGATATTAGTGAGTGATATGTCGCCACAAATACTCTGACGGTGTCATCATATCTTACACACAGCAATCTACATTATACATCTCATATAATTTTATACATAACTTCTGAATAAAAAAATCCATATAAATAATAACACAATTATACGAGTCCTCAGGTGAAAAAAATATGTCATTCAGAGTAACTTTTCACATAAGCCTAATTAGGCAATATGCCCTAATTATGCTATCATTCGAGCATCCCTTTGTAAATGATAAT